TTATGGTTTTCAGGGTACAAAGCAACTTAAGGAATCCTGGAACAAGCATTGGACAACTCTAGTGGACCAAATGAGCCATAATGAGAAGTATATGGAGTTTTCATGATAACACACGAACAAATGACGAAGAATCTTACTAGTAGAAGTAGAGCCCAAGATAAGGTCAATGGAGGAAGACTCGACCTAAGCTGAAGCAAGAACCAGTGACGGCCCAACATTAAGTCCAACCGTTGCTTATGGAAACATGAATGAATCGCACCCAATTCTTCAGGAGAGGTTGTTCATGGGCCAAGAATATCATCCCAAGAAGAAAAGGGGCGGCAGAAGAGGCCCAAGCCCAAAACAAGATCTTTACGCCATGACTTCGGCCCTAAGTCAAAGAAGCTTTGTCCTAGTAAGTTTAGGAGGGGTTTGGCTGAGTTTTACCCCTATAAATAGAGGCTAGACTCATTAGTTCAGTAGGCTGCATGACAACATTCAAACTTTTGATTACTCCGCTCGAGTAAGAGCTTAGTTTTCATAGGAGAGGGTGCAACTATGGAGATGCTTTCATCATTGATGGTGGTACCCTCATTTTCTTCTATGTTGTTAGTTCGAAATTGATTGTATGAAGATGTAAAATCATTTATCTTTGTATGTATTGATGCTATAATTTCAAATGATGCTTGTATTTATGCGTATGAATTTTGATGTTTGTTATGTGTGCATGAATGCTTGATTTTGATGCCTATGTAATGATCATTATTATTTATCTAGTATGAATGTTTTCTTTATCATCGATGCTTATGATTCTATAGTGTGCTGATATATGCATTGTGTTTAGTATCATCTAAGTTGTTAAAAAAAATTATCCTCTACTGATACACCCATTGATGTTACAACTTACACGTGTATAGAGGAAATGATCAACCATTTATACCTCCAGTAGCATCAATGTTCAATTGTTAGATCATTGATTCTATAGACCACCAATGATGGCTCAAAAAGCCCACACTTAATCATGTGTTGTCCCAACTTTCTTGATTTTCATTAATTAGGTAATGGCATGACGCCAAAGCACGCATTAGCTAGTTAAATCTCAATTGCAAGAGGCGCATGCACATGTACAAAATGGCCTTAGTGGAAAGGATAGAGTGATGCTATAGATGAGTCATTGATGCATGATAAGATTGAGCTTTAGTGTGCATGATGCTACTCGAGATTCACTCTCTTATATAATATTGTATCTTTACTTTTATGCATCTATAACTTGAAAACCCACTAAACGACTATACTCTTCTTGATTTACTTTTCCTTGCTTGTTACTTGAATGAAAACCCCTAAAAAGTCTCTCTTGTTTTGTGTGTCCTACATGGTGTGCTCTGAGTAGTTATGCATTAGAGACCTTGTGGAATACAATCCTAGGGCATCCTAGGACTATAAATTTGATTTCGGAATCAACCGCCCCCATCCTTGTTTCCAAAATACTCAACCCATACCAGCCCCATTACCCATGCATGGGCGTTTTGTAGCCCCATACCATAACCATGATTTTTGGATACCCGTTGGTAATCCCGCACCTCGCACATTTATTCATTGTTCTAAATATAGTTAATACAATGAAGCTTAATAGATTCAGAATACTTGAAAACCATTGCATTGTAAGATCCTACGATTTTACGATCAAAATTCCAATTTTGACTGCATTGGGAATACGAACGTGTTACTTGCCCGCGTTCTATCCAGAAAACCTGGTCAGTTGTCCAAGCCAAACGTGAGTTGTGTAACTACTACCGCGAAGAAACACGATCAAATATAAATAAAACACGAACGTGTTTCATACAACAAACATGTTGAGTAATTGGTTAGGAGAAGAAACACGACCAAAGCATCCACAAAACATGAACGTGTTTCCTACAAAAGACAGGTCGTGTAAGTATCAAGTGAAACAATTAGGGAGTACACAACATCGACTTAAGTAAGGACTAGGGGGAAACATACCCGGGTGAACTTCTCGCATTTGAATTCGAATCGATTTACCTACTTTGTTTCTTAAGTTTTTAGTAATCAACACTACAACATGTTTGCTAGATAACATATAATTTGCTGAGTAATAGTACATCTAGAGCCCTGAGTTGACCTTTAAGACTTAATTACTCTATACTACTCCCTGATCTGTGGTTGCATCACTGATTATAGTGTTAGTAAATGTGAGTCACAAAGCAAGCTCATAGGGCATAGAATAGAGACTCAACTACAAGACGGAATGCGATCAAACGCATTCACTAACTCAAATAATGAGGGGAAAAACACAATAGAGATGCAATGCTCATATAACGAAAATAACTCTCCTCCAAGGTAGTCTAGGTCAGCGAGTGTGTAGATTTCTTTAACGAAGCATGTCTGATGACTAGTTGCAAGTCGCCCCCCAAATGTCACAACCGAAAAACTAAAGCATTAGACACCATTATATAATATCTCAGTGAGGAAGTAAATCAATAATAAGCGCATTCGAGATACCATCATAAATCTTCCTAAAAGCAAATAAATCGAACCATCACCTGATAGACCAACAAAATCGATTGCACTGCCTTGATTTACCTTTATAATACTAGGATACCCCTGCAAAGTCACTCGTCAAAAAAACATCCAATATGATGCTAGAAGCAAATAAATCGAACCATCACCTGATAGACCAACAAAATCGATTGCACTGCCTTGATTTTACCTTTATAATACTCATAGACCAACAAAACATCAACTTCAAAGAATTGAGAATTATATTGGTCCTATTTTAAATTTTACTCATCCTAACTTTAGAATCAATGAAATTTTTACGTTAAACTACTACTTTACCAATATAATCCTTATTGATGATGATTATAGAGAATGAGATGAGGAGAAGGATATGGTTAACCATATATTAACAACTCATGTTTAACATAATATTTTTATATGACCCGAAGTTTAACCTTCTTCTTTAGTATCTTGGTCAATATTTTCACTAATTAATATCATGATCTATACTATCACCAAATGTCCGATTGGCCTAAACAAGTGTTAACCGTTATATTGGACGGTCAAAACTGTTACTAACGGAAAAAAACAAAAAAAATAGCATAAACAAACTTAAAATTTTCATCAAAGAAGAATGATTAATTTTTTTTCATATGTTCAATTTTGGGGGGAAATCGGAAAATGGATATCATGTGGATTTTTTTGAAATTTTAAAGTTTGTTTATGCTAATTAGGTGATGGCAGGACAGATCGATCGTCAATAAATTTGACCGTCCAACATAATTGTCAATACTTAATTTAAGTCAATCAATTGTTTTAGTGATAGCATAAGCCAATATATTAATTAATTAATGAAAAATTGATCAAGAAGATAAAGTTGGAACTATATGAAAATATTTTTTTTCCCGTTGAATCAGTTGCTTTTATTCCAATAAGAAACCGATACAACGAGTCGAGACTACAATCTCGAGAGGTACATACTAGTCCCCACTTCTATATGAGAATATGTATACTATAGGAGCAAACAAACAGAAAAGATGTCTATAAGTATCCCAACCCAGCTAAAGCATCCCGAACCCCTTTGTTTCCACATGAAATAAATAGCAAATCCATTCTGATCAATTTTGCAACCTGCTCAGGGGTGCATCAGGGCGACCCGTGAGTCACACCACACCTTTCCTTCCAAATAAACGTCAGCAACATACACCAAACAAGAGCATGACACTCTCCAGCTCCAGTATTGCCAACTGTGATCATTGAGTTCACCATGGTATCCCAGTCTGTATGCAGCAGAAGGTTGCATTTCATAGCAGCAGCTAGACGACGCGAAAACAAGCATTGAACAAAGAGATGATCTCTATTCTCGACTGCCAAACCACAGAGTGGGCATGATGCATCCCTGGTTTTACCCCACTTCAGCAGTTTGTCTCTTGTAACGATAACTTTTCTCATTATAAGCCAGACAATCAAGCTGAAGCAGGGAGGACAGTTCCTGCCCCAGACAAGCTTATACCACAAGACTTTAGGAGCCCTATTCCTCAGAGTTTCCCATACCCGACGAACCGAGTAAACATCCATCGCCTTTGAATCCCAAAAAACAGTGCCATTATGCTCTTGCATCCATGGGGAAATCACAACCCGCCGTTTGAGAAGTTTCCTCCAAGCCCATGAGCTACTATTTTGCACTCTCAAAGACCAAAAATCCCGTTGTCTACACTTATACTCATACATCCACGCAACCCATAATGTCCTTTAATTCATGAAGAACAACCAAAGCCTATATGAAAATATTAAACTAACATAATCAGAGACTTTTTGCCCTGATTAGGTCGTCCCTTTACCGCCTTGTCTAGATTATTGCTGGGCATAACTCCTGTTTGGCTCTCTAAAAAACTTATTTTTCTAAACAAAGGAAAGAAAAAGAGGAGAGGGAGAAGAACACGGATATAGACAACAAGATAGAGACAGACAAACACACACTTCAACCCGATTGTTGTTTTCAGTTTTCATCACGGTTATTATGTCGGTTGCATGTCGGCCGGTTGAACCTGATTTAACCGTTGTCAGTCATAAAATGGTATAAACACCACCGGTATGATTGATTTATGAATATAAGCAAAATGAGATCGTTTTATTAAATTTTGTTGATAAAAAAATTATTATATATTTTATGAATATAAAAGTTAATAATTAATGTAATTTGTTGGATTCAAGTATAAACATTTATATATTGACGTTAAATATTATATTTAAATATGAGTATTTGTTATTTGATATGAAATGTCATATTTTATTAAGCCAGCATAAACCGACACAAACCAATTATAGCACCACTAGTTGTAGCATTCCACTTGCTAAACGAACGCAATAATATAAACCGGTTTGACAACCTTAGTTTTCACTCCCTTCCCTCTCGTACTTGTCCTGCGCCCTTTCCTTTCCTAGCAGTAGCAGCAAAAGGAGGCAGGAGACGGTGAACTGCGGGCAGCAGGGGTAACTGAAAACTCTCTCTCTCTCTCTCTCTCGCTCTCTCCCTCCCTTTCCCACCATTTATTTCCTCTCGTGACCTTTCTCTTTCCCTCTGTTCTGGGGTTCCCAAAATTTTGAACAGTCCTAATAGCTCTTCCTTTCCCCCCAGAAAAGTTCCCATCTTTTTATGCTCCGTACCCAGGCAAACAACAAAAAGAAGTTAAGGCAGGGGAAATGGAGAGTGGGAAGAAGACAGCACCAGAAGCTGGTCCTTGTTCAACAGCAGCAGCAGGTGGAAGCAGTACTAGTACTTGTAGTGGCGCCGTTGAAGAGCGGAAACAAGGAAAGGAGATCAATAATGTGTTGTCGGATGCAGATGCCGCTGTCAAGCCATCAAATGGAGAAGAAGAAGAACCTCCTCCTGTTCCTGATGATGACGGCGACGACTTAGAGGACAGATTGGAGGATGCTAATAATGGCGACGGTGATGATCATCGTCACATTCCTCCTCCTCTTGTTACTACTACCAGTAGCAGTGGGTTCGTCCCTGGGCCTCTGCTCTCCCTCAAGGAACAGATTGACAAGGACAAGGTCTCTGCTTCCTTCTTCTTCTCCTCCCTGTTTTCCCCTCCTTCCCCTGTTTTCCCCTTGTTTGTTTTGTCGAGAGCATCAGCACTTTTGTTTCCTTTTATGGTAATATAAAGCTGTCAAGATAGAGTAACAGGAATGAGTCTTGTGTGACTTAACTCCGCACGCAGGATGACGACAGCTTGAGAAGGTGGAAAGAGAAGCTGCTAGGCTCCATCAGCGGCGAATTGAACGGTAACGATTTCGACCTAACAGGAGCCTTTAGCTTTGCTTTGTCTTTGCATATCTGCTCTTCAGGCATTCCAGTTTCCATATCGTTCACTCGGATATATGCTGCTATTTCGGTTTGCCAGGCGAAACAGAGGCGGAAGTTAGGTTCCATTCCATAGGCATAATGTGCAGCGATTTTGGGGAAGTAACTACACCATTGCCTATCGTTGCCAATGAGAATGAGAGCCGCTCAAGTCGCCTGCTTTTCACTCTCAGGGAAGGGTCTCAGTATCAACTCAAGTTCACCTTTACTGTTCTTCACAACATTGTCTCCGGTTTGACCTACTCAAATACAGTGTGGAAGTCAGGGATTCAAGGTGCACAACAACACAGCCCATCTCTCTCTCCCCCCTCTTTCCATCTTCGGTCTGGTTTCTTTACGCTCAAAAGTAGATCGATTGACATGATTATTTTGAACTAACATGACGGGGGGAAATGCAGTTGATCAGAACAAAAGAATGCTGGGTACTTTTGCTCCTCAACGTGAGCCATACGTGCATACTTTGGAGGAGGAGACCACTCCGTCTGGTATTCTAGCTCGCGGGACTTACTCCGCTAAGCTTAAGGTCAGTCCTGATTCCTGAAATGCATCCATCTTACGTACAACGAGTACAGTCCAACTTGCCAATGAATTGAAGTCGAATGATCAGAACTTGATTAAGCAACTGGAGTCATAATCTTAATCATGGATGATGATGTTGTTTACCTCTTTTTTTGTTTCCGGCAGTTTGAAGACGATGACAAAAGATGTCACCTGGAGCTCAAGTACTGCTTCCAAATCAAAAAGACCCTTTAACCTAGCCCCTTCCTCCGCCGCAATGGAACCCTTTTTCTCTGGCCATATGCTGTTGTGTTGCAATAAGGAGTGAATTTGTGATTGTCCATCACTCCATCGAACGGATTGCAGCAGTTGTAGCTTCTTTGTTTTTCTTGGGAACAGTCTCTGCTTCCATCTTCGTTCTGCATGTGTTGTAATCTAATGTGACATTAAAGGAGCCAATATTACAGAGCGATCATCAGAGGTCGAAGCAGGATTGTTGAAGGATGATCAATGACTGGCTACCACATTGTTCTGATCCCAAATTTGGCTTACTATTCAAACTGTTCGACATAAAGAATAAGTATCCAGCCCTACAGGCGACCTATTAGAAGAAAACTACCACAAATCCAAACTCACACTTCAGCTTGTCGCAGATGCTCAATGTTCACATTTGACGGTTACAGATTTTTACCCAAAGTTACTTCTGTTTTTTTGTTAACTAGCCAAGAAATTGCTTTTCGAAGACGGTAAAAAAAATGCTCCAGTGCTATCTCATGAGGTAGATGTTGAGTTCTCTGACCTGGACCGGCTTTGAATCCTAGATATTTCAGTTGAAGCAACAGCAGGTCCAAGTCTGGATTGAATTCACATCTGTATGGATACAGGGGAAAACGAGCATCAAAACCTCGGCGTTTGTGATGCCAAGGGTTGTTGGAAGGCTTGTGTTGAAGAGCAATGTACTTTATTTTGGAACTTCCGCACAACCCAAGTACCCAGCTGCTCCTCCAGCAAGAGGGCTGCTTATTGTACAATTGTGTACAATGATCGGTGGGGATTGCTATGCTGCAAAAAACATGGAAGCGACTGAGGAATGAAACATATTGTAGGGATTACTCAAAAGTACCATGTAAGATAGGAACGAAACATATTGGAGGGATTACTCAAAAGTACCATGCAACCCTTATATTGAAAGCTTTACTGAGAACACTTGAGAAAGTCATTTGTACTTTGTTTCAAGATTTTACTTTGTAATTGAGCTGTTGCTGTTAAAGTTGCTTGATACATGTCAACTCTGTGAGGCTGGTGAGTATATAATTGAGATAATGATTCAGATAAGTTCAAATGTAGAGTTGTCTAGTCTTAATAACTAGCTTCTACCATGGAGGAAAACGTGCTGTAATTCACCAAGAAGGCCAAGGTGAAAATGTTACACAGATAATAAAACTCGACTTCTAGATGTGATTATCAAATCATATTCATTTTTCTTCAAACTCTTTCGAGTTAAAATGGACGTGAGCTGAAGAGAAGTAACATGTACCTAATAAATCCATATAGCCTTAAAGGTAATTCAAGAGTGTCTCGGCTGACGAATTCTTCAATCTACAGCTCTGTCCCAGGTGAACATCACCAAAAATGTATCTGCACTTGCAAAACCATCATAAGGGCAGACAGTACAATCAACACGACAATACACAATTGAGGGCACCGTGACTAACCAACCTATATTCACAGTACTCCGCCCAAGCGCATCTAGCTTTCCCATAGTCCCAGTAGCAGTCATCGTCTCTTAGAGGACCTCGTTTTGCTGTTACGTAATACATGTCAGTGAAGAAGTATCCAAGACGGTTGACGAAAGAAGAGGGTACTGAATGAAAAGACAAACCTTTTGTAACGAATTTCGATGTCGTATCAGGACGGATGTCATGCCACATCTGAAGCCACAGCTCCCGCATTAAAACCGGAGATCTAACGATGTTCCTATGATTTGCTACAGAAGGATAGTTTGAGTTACTAATCAGTACTTGACATGTCATGAATTACTGGTTTGAGGATAATATGGTTCCGTTATTCTTTCCTTGTCCTTTTCCGGGTTCCATATTATAAAATGAAATACCCCTCATATTCCAAGCCGAAGTGAACAGAAGCCATAAACCGACCTTTATCAAGTTCCCAAACTGCTGTCCTCTTTCCTGGTATGCTTTCGGAATCTTCATAATATGTAATATATTTTACCCTTGAAGACCGTGTCATGTTGGGAATTATATCATCTTCAGGGAGATGGTCAACATTCAGTTCTACTTGTACATCAGATCCATCATGCTCGGCCTGCAATTCGCATGAACATAATGCAGCAAATCAAAATAACCTTCAGATACAAATATTCAACTACCATTCCTGTATCACATAGTTATTCCCAGAGGTCGAAATGTTAATGTTTCACACACAAGCCAAGGTGTATTATAATAGTATATGAGGAAGTATAAATTACTTCATCTCATATGTCAGAAGCAGATAACTCAAGCACATCCAAGGTCATAACTCATCGGCTGAGAATACCTGAGGAGCCCTTGTCATGTTCACTTTTGATCCAAGCCAACTCTTGCATAGTGATAAGGAATTGTATGGTACCTGAAACATACAGCATATTCACTCCCGATAAAAACACATGGATGCAGTTCCAAGAATCAATATTAGGGTGTTCAACAGTTCAAGGATCTGTGGATCAGGTACTCTTGTAAAATAAAAATGCACGGATTGTTGCATGAGCTTACTGTCTCATCCCCACTTGTAGCCCCTGGATTCCCTTCAACCAGATTCCCAGACCTAGAAGATCAAGGATAAACATGTTAGAAAGAGCGAACTGAGATATGCACAACCGATGAAACAATGCCCGTTCAACATGAAGGCATGACTATCATGACAATTAACAAATTTGACCTGATAAGGGGGGCACAGACGAGTTTGCGACAACACTTGTGCATTGCCACAGGACTGGTTATGGCACCAGGCTGTCAGCTAAGCTACTATTACTCGGTTTGGATACAATTCTACGAAAACATAATTGGAAATTCATTTCCAATTCTTCTTTTCCCAAAAATTCATTTCGAGTTCTTGTGCTTGAAACCATTCCAAAAGTATGGAAATGCATTGTATTATTAATAATGGTGGCTACTTCGGTGCACTCACTTTTTTGGGTGCACTCATTTCTAAAAGTGTCCATAATATATCAAATTTTGAACTTTAATTAGTACTCTCAATCTAACATGATGATATGACATAGAATCATAACAAATCAATCTATTACCCTAACCCCTTAACCTTCAATTTTGAATCCCAATGCAAAATCTCAAACTGTAAACCTAAACCCTAACCCTAAACCCCTAAATACTAAATCCTTCAAATTAAAGTAAATCTTAAATGATTTTTTTTCAAATTCATGGGCTTATTGTTCATAATATCATAAGCAACAAATTGATACCATTTTGACATGAATCGCATGCTCAGAATGATGATTATGAGGCGGGTGCGCTGAGTGTACCCAAAAAAGTAGGTGCGCCGAATACGCCACCTATTAATAATAAAGTAATACTTCAATATATTTGTGTATCTGGGGAAAAGAAATGTGAAAAGAGAGAAAAAAGTGGAAATTTTGAACGGAAAGATATTAATAAATTTTTTTATGGGATCCACTACTTCCAATCAAAACAGGCTATATGTGTTTGCCTCCCACTGCAATTTGTTGACAAACAGGGTAGGGATGACAATCTGGTATAGGGAGTTGTAAAATCAATGGCCTGTGAACTAAACCATCCTAATGCAGTACTTTTCAGTTCTCGACCGTGCCTTTGTTGGTATTTTCCAAGTGGGGGAGTTCAGTTCGTTCGGGTGCACCAATGTTCACCATATAGCAAACCTGTGACTCTTCCTTTGTAAGTGGAACTACTGGCAGATCATATGGCATACTCATATACTTATAAATAATGGAACAACAGTAAAAATACTCGCCTTGTGTAGAGGGATCCTTCAATCTCGTAAATAACATCTGTTATGATCCAATTATCTGGATAAGGTTTGCCACTCGGTGCAAAATAGTAACCAACCTGCTTCGACATTTCCCAATACAAAAATTATCATCAGCATTTCATAAAATTGAACTCCAAGCGAATAATAACTGGTCAGCTGTTATTCGTCCAAAGAAAAAGCACAATTTACACAAATTCTGATAAGCTGTCTGACAAATATACTAATAGCACCAAATATCTGCAGTCATCCGCTTGAAGAATGTATTTCACCCTAGTCAATATCTAAGAGCTAAGACATTGCAGATTCCATTACCATATATATGCAGGGAAAATAGAGTGAAACACACATCTTTATACACAACTGGACCCTTATTTTCAAGCATGAAACTGGCGAACAAAGCAAAATCCCCCCTAAGCTTGGTGGCTAAAAAGATATAGAATTTTTTTAGTATGTGTATTCAGAGCTAAAAAGGGCATCTAAAGGTCAGATAAGTAAATATCCAGCGGAAGCAAGGTGTGACTGCATTGTATCATCCTAAAACAGAAGGAACATGCTGTCGACACACAACACATTTTTAAACCAGGAGGGTATGAGAGGACTTAGGTATACCTCCGTCTTCAAATCTATTCCATAGATGCAGAAAATATTTTTAATAGGAGGTCTATCCCAGCGTGTAAGTGGATTAACAACAGGATCACCGTGGTATGACCTGAAAAATACAGTTTGGAAGATTACATCCCCTGAAACCGGAACTGCATGCATATGGCTTCCACTAATCGTTGCCGAAGGGTGTTTATTTTCTTCTTCTTTTGGAGACCAATAAATGTTCAAACAGATACAATTACTGTACGCTCATGCACAACTGAAGAAAGATCCTAATCTAACACTTTGTTGAAAAAGTTGCATTTTGAAGCAATTCCAATGATTTCACAAGTTCAACTGATGATTCACCACCATTATGAAATGAATGCATGCAGTATACTAGAGGAGATTCAGTATCCGCTTGCACCCGAAGGCGGTAAACCCCAAGGATAATCACAATACAGTAATTCGAGTCTATGCAGGTCTGCCACCTAGCTTGACCGCAATGGTTTCAAGATTTGCTTAGGTAAATCCCTTAGGTGGAGACATGGTTTGAAAACCTTGGCATAGCTCAATTTACAAAAACGGGAAAAGGGAGGCTAAACGAGTTAGTTCGCCAACCTCTTGAATGAAAACTGAATGATATGCACTGGGGTGCTCCAATAGCAACCCATATAGTCGTACAGAAAGGTAATGCTGCCATGGACCTGATTAGCAAAAATGGGCAATATGATGGGATAGAGTGCACCAAGTTGAGTGAAACCATACTTCTACCATACTGAGACTTGAGTTGAAAGAATATAATATTGGATGGTAAAGGCCAGTAAGAAGTTACTCTTATAAATAAGCCCTTTTGGACTCCAAAGTAAAGGTATTATGAGCAGAACCAGCATTGATGAAAGGGTAAACATACTTCTGTAACTGGTACAATAGCCTCTTTGTGTCAGAATCATAGTCCTCTATGGCTCTGAAAAGTGTTCCATCTGCAACTTCATGAGCTGAGAAAGATAACTGAGTAGGGAGTCCACATTCCAAGGCCGAGAAGTTTGTTTCGAGCATATCTTGGAGTGATGGATAGGCATCAAACCCTATGAATATGCACATAGATACAGCATACATGAGCAGTTGAGTAATATTGCCTCAGCCAAATCAATATCAAACTCCTACCAGGAATAGAAGGGATTTCTATGTTGACCAAGTTGGTTGGCCATCCAGAGTAGTTTGTTCGATATTCTTGCTCCTCACAGTGATAGGTTTGATTTTTCTTTCTGAATCCTCCAGAAAAATGTTTCCAATATGGATTATCGGATGTACAATACTTTGACTGTGGCATCATCCACAATGAAGAAGAAAAAGAATTGAACATTAATCGAGCTGTTCCCTGGGACCTTGCCAAAGCATAAACATGGGTTAGAAAATATTTGAGAGACATTAACAAAAGGTAGCACAGATACTTAAAACTACTAGAAATTGGAGAAAACTGAGAGAAGTTGTACTACGATCTGGTGTAACTGAGTATAGGAAGAATTCAGATTGATGCAAACTAATGAGAGCCTGTGAATAACATATATTACTAGCCAGTGCACCAGTGACGGAATGATATTCAGAAATGAAAGAAGAAATCGGTCACCTCAGAAACAGGAAGCCCAAATGTGTTTCCAAAAAGAGTAGCTTTCACTGTCTCGGGTGAGCCAAGAAGAGGAGCTCCTGGATCAGATACGACAGTAGATCAAACAAGTGCACAGATTTAACCACCAGCAACTAAACTTGTAAGATAGGGTTTGGTGCCAATTAGTCATACCAACAGCAAAGTAGGCATGGATGTGGTCATCCAGCCATTGATTGTAATGTTTCGGAGCAATTTCAAGCTTAAGCCACTCCAGAAAGTAACGGAATACAAGGTTACCCAATGAGTGGCCAAATACTAAAGAAGGTCCACCACGAAGTTTGAGGCAGTTTCAAAGGTCAATCTGCAAAGAAGGCGAAAGAGTAAATGGAAGAATGATTCAGTCATTAGATAGTGGTATCTGACGGCCATTGGTTAATCCTTATGTACTAGATTAGTGCAGGAATAGCAACAGCTGACGATATGTGAAAAAATGCTTCCATTTAAAGATATCTGATGCTGTCAATAGCTAACAATAAATTTATCTACCAGTTCATAGGATTTTTAGATAGGTAATGTTGTCCAACAGAACCCTTAAATGGTAAGAACACCATTGATCTCTATGGAATGAATGCTTTAGCAGAGAATTACTGATCAATTCAGAGAACCATACCATTGCTGTACAAAAAAAAAATTGATAATCTCCGTAGAAACAGACATACTTGAGGTTATGGAAATAGAGGTCTCGCTCCTCAAGCATCGATGGAGACAACCTCCAATCGTAAGGAACAGCAATTATTGCATTTGCCTCGATACCAAATTGAATGCACCACTTAATCCACTCTTTCCATATAGAAGACAGAGGACCTGAAGAAAGATATCAATAATCATTTAACTCCTTGATGCTATTTGAAACTCAACATTTTGGGGGAGAAAAACTCTGCAAAAACGACAAGGAACACAGATGGGTATAAAGAAAGAAAAGGCACAAACCTGTAATGTAACCTGGATCAAGTTCAGTAATCGCAGAGAGAGCACTATCAGGTCTCGACTTGCACTCAGCGTTATCTGTTTGGTTGTAAGGATCAAGCATCATGCATTTGAGCCAACAATTCACCGCCGAAAGAAGCTGCAGAACAACAACAGGTAAGCTGACATCAATTCCTCCACAAGAATCTCTCAACAGCTCAGTAATTCGACATGGAGGAGCGATAACCATATGAATCAATCGCTATCCAATAAGAGGAATCGATTGGGAGATCTCAGAAATGCGGAACTAGAAGACGATCACAAAGCACACAGACGAAGCATGCAGGGAAGCAATTACTACCTTGGTGGTGTCGAGCCAGACCAAGTCGAGAGGGTTGAAATCGAGAGGAGAGTAAGGACAGTCGAGCAGGGACCAGGCTCGGAGCTGAGTGGATGCGAAGCCGGGGATTATGATTCCCGACAGTTTGGAGTAGTCTCCATCGAACGCGGCGCCACAGACGGTGCGGAGACCGGCGACAAGTAGCACGGCGACGGCGATGGAGGTGGCGAAGGGGAGGCGGGGAGCTCTTCCGTTCATGGTTTTAGTTTCTTACCTCATTTCCCCCGCCGTTTTGCTCTGGCTTCCACGTCGGCTACTTCCGTTCACGGGAGAAAGTAGAAGAAGCGAGAGCGGCAGAGGACCGAGTGTCGTTGTCTCGTTGATTATGGTGCGGTGAGTCCCTTTTCTCTCTAGCTTTGCAGTTTTGAGTTGACTGAATAAAATAGTTTTGTTGCTTATTGCCCGCGCATCAATTCAATTTCTTTTTCCTTTTTTCTCATAGTCATAGGTACATAGGAGAAGCTAGGGTGCTAATTGCTAGGATAGGGCTGGAAGTTTAGTACCGATATTTGGGATATACCGAATACCATATCGAATTTGTCTATATTTGGTGTTATCGAATACACGTATTATTTCTTGGGATTGAGATTGAATTTCAATTGCAATTCGGTATTAGGGATTACGGGATTGGGATCGGTATATACCGAAATACCGATCAATACCGAAATATAAGCTAGTATATATTTTATCCTCTCAATTAGACCCTCTCATTCACTACTACACGACCCTCAACCACCAAGTCCAAGAGTGTCATTTAATTATACGTAGATCATTCTATCTTTGTTTTACAACCAGAAGTCCCCATCCAACTCAATTATGACTTTCTAGTTTAAGTCACTCTCATCTCTCACCTAATCACTTGTTATTTTCATAACCCCAAAAAGCAAACACTAGTATTAGTCGTCTCTCAGCCTCCAATTCGTCAAATTAAAGATTGCCAATGCCAAGAACTTGAGATGTCACCTCTCCTTCATTTTCCTTATCCATATCCTAGCTATAGGCAAACTCAAGACTCTTCGCTTAGTATCTTTGCTCTAAATTAAACAATCAAATCTAATTTATATATTTAATTATTTATTTCAAATATAATTAATTTGGTATTCGATAATACCGATTGGGATGCTGAAGTACCGATTGGGATACCGGAATATTTAGGGATTGAGATTGGGATACCGAAATTATTTAGGGATTGGGATTGGGATTGACTTTCGAGTGTAATTCGGTATTCGGGATTTTGGTATTTGGTATTGGGATACCGATACCGTACTGATTTCCACCCCTAGCTAAGGGTTAGCACCATCCTAAGTAGGGCTGGAAGTTTGGTATCGTTATTTGGGATAACCGAATACCGTACCGAATTTGTCTATATTTGGTATTACCGAATACACGTATTATTTCTTGGGATACCGAAATATAAGCTAGTGTATATTTTATCCTCTCAACTAGAATATCTCATTCACTATTATACAACTCTTAACCACCAAGAGTGTCATCTAATTATACATAGATCATTTCATCTTTGTTCCACAACTCAAAAGTCCCCATCCAACTCAATTTGACTTTCCAATTTAAGCCACTTTCATCTCTCACTTAATAACGTGTTATTTTCATAACACCAAAAAGCAAACACTATTATTAGTCATCTCTCAGCCTTCAATTAGTCAAATTAAAGATTGAGAAATTTTACAATGCTATATAGTATTGGTGCTATAGCTTTTTTGCTTTTATGGTACAACTTCAAGTTGTACCTTTAACGTTATGGTATAACTTCAGCTTGTACCTATACTATTTTACAAATTCTTTTATGGTACAACTTGAACTTGTACCTTTATGTGATGGTACTACTTAGAGTTGTGAAGTTGTACCATAACATAAGGGTACAAATTCCTTTATGGTACAACCTAAACTTATACATTTTACGGTATGGTACAACTTTAAATTGTACATTAAAGCACCCATGCTTTATAGCATAGTAGAATTGCTCATTAAAGATTACCAATAACAAGAACTTGAGATGTCACATCTCCTTCATTCTCCTTATCCATATGTTAGCTCTAGGCAAACTCAAGACTCTTTGCTTGGTCTCTTTGCCCTAAATTAAATAATCAAATCTAATTTATATATTTAATTATTTATTTCAAATGTAATTAATTTCGTATTCGATAATATCGATTGGGATGTTGAAGTACCGATTGGGATACCAGAATATTTAGGGATTGGGATATCAAAATTATTTAGGGTTGAGATTAACTTTCGGGTATAATTCGATATTCGAGATTTCGGTATTTGGTAATGGGAAACTGATACAATATCGATTTTCACCCCTAATCCTAACTAACATATAAACTGTCCACCAGTATTTCAGATTTCAGATCTAATTGCTACAAAAGAGAAAGAGAGATATCAGGTATAAAAGGGGGGAAATTAAATTTTGAATTTATTTTGTTATTCGTGATAGCAACCAGATTTTGTGGGATCCTGGATACACGGTTTGTATTTCTAATTATGCGAAAATGGTGTATACATTTATTCTCCATTTTTTTATTTTGTGATCGGAGAGAGTGTTTGAGGGGAGGGATATTATATCGCCGACGACGTTTGCAACATAAGCACTACATAAGAATCATTACTAATTCTCAGTAAAAAAAGAATTACTACTAATGCTAGATCTGAAGAACACTACAAGAATTTGCAAAAATTGGAGAACACTATCAAAATAATGAAAAAATAAAAATAAAACACAAAAGCCATAGATCTAAAGAACACTACTACAACCTACAAAACCCTACTACTTGCAGAATCATTACAAATGATAGATCTGAAAAACACTACTAGGCCCTACAGAAATTGAAGAACGCTGCCAAAAAAAATGCCCAAACAATAAAAAACACTACAACTGTAGATCTGAAAAGCAAAGCTATTGTATATAAAATTAGAGATCACTATGTAAATATTTCAATCCGAAAATTTACAAAAACGGTACTACAATAGAGCTGAAAAACACTACTTAGTCTAATGAAACACTATTAGTCTTCTAGAATCAATAATACTCTAAAACTCACCAAACAGTAAACGAGATATATGTTAGTGTTATGGTATATGATCCACGATTGAACATCTTCCAACAACTCGAGTTATTGGGATCAACTGGTTCTTGACATGGTATCAGAGCCTTCTGTGACCGGGAGGTCTTGTGTTCGATTCCCAGTGATCCCCATTTGTTAAGCACATGGTATTCTTGTCTTCAAACCTGTGCAAACTTCAAGCCCTTGTGAGTGGCTTTCGTTTGAGGGGGCGTGTTAGTGTTATGGTATATGATCCACAATTGAACATCTTCCAACAACTCGAGTTATTGGGATCAACTGGTTCTTGACAATATATACCATATCTGAAATTCTAAACACACTTAAATGCCTCCAATGCAGAACTTCAATTCACCCATAGTCCATATGACGTAGGCAAGGCGAATGTAGACGACATAGGGGAGGCGGATGCAAACGACGACGATACTAGTGAGGGCAGCGGAGGCAAAGGCGTCAATGAGGCCGATGCAGATGATGACGCAGATGAGTTCAACGGTGGCCGGCTAAAGGGGCACATGCAACATCGAAGCAGAGGATGGCAACGAAGGCGATGTTGCAGACGACGGCGCGCGCGGAAGGGGGAGGCTGAGTACGCTACGACGACGAGAATGCAGAGATCGCGATTCGCGATAGTAGAGAACAGAGCCGAATAGAGAGAGAGAGACTAGAAAGAAAAAGAGAGGATGGAGAAAAGAAAATTGGCTAAAAGGAGAGTAGTTATTAGATTTATCACCTAAAAAATCGTACATGTTTGTTTCTAGGATTTAATCACGTGTATGCTTACTAATAATTCCCCACCATCAAAACTACCATTAGATTGACAGAAATATAAATGAATGGAGATGGGAAGGATTATTACGGTGCTAACCTATTAAATGGTTAGCATCCCATCTCATCCCGTGTACAATACAGTATGCTTACAAGTATATAGAAAATGAAATAATCAAATGCGTCGGTCGATAGCTAATCAATCCTTCAACAAGAGAGTCTATTTAGCCCCTAAAATCCATAAAATGGTATAAACCTCCACAGTAGTGCGTAGGGCGGCAAACGAGCCGAGCCGAGTCGAGTTTTTGCTTAGTTTGATCTCGGCTCGTTTATAAAATTTTCAGCTCGCGCTCGGCTCGAACTTGAATTTTGATAATCCAGCTCGAGCTCGATACTGTACAGCTCGGTAAATGCTCATTAACACAGCTTGCAAAGCTGAGTACAAGCTCGGTTCAAGATGAGCTCGATTTGAAATCATTCTTGCTAAAATATGTGTACACATAAGAATTTAAATGATAAAAATAACACAAGAAACTAAAAATAACTACTAACTTCTATACACATCTGTATTAACAAGATAATGTTTATGTTCAGAAGAGTAATTTATCCTTTCACAATCTCTAAACAAGCCAGCTCGCGAGCTTAGCTTAACAAGCCACCGAGTCAAGCTAGCTCATGAGCTTATCAAGCTGAGCATGGTCTAACTCAAGCTTGGCTCGTTTACTCTGACTTGTTAAATAATGAGTCAAGTGTCGAATGAGTTTTCCCCGATTCGAACGTTGAGTTGCTCGCGAGCTGCTTGGCTCATTTGCAGCATTAGTTGTGTGCCAGTGTACACGAATCCTTGAAGGGTAATTCACTCACTACCTCGAGGGAAAGTGCATATCCAAAAACAAAGCAGCTTCCCACAGCAAACCAGCCAAAAATGTTGATCCGCCAAATTTTTTCCAAGCTAGCAAGTCGAAACACTTTCTCTTGCAAAACAATACACAAGAAACAGACGGGCTGAAACCAACAAAGACCAAATCCCTGTAAAGTTCACTAGGAAATTAAATATGACCACCCATAACATCCAGCCCAAGTACGGGATAAAGCCTTGGGCCCTGCACATTTTTGTAAGCCCCAATAGCAAAATAGACCGCTTCAACATAAAAGTCAAGGCCAATACTACAGTGCCGCTATAAAAACTGTGGCACGTGGAGCTGATGTGGCGTTGGTTGGATATGTTTAAACCTAGTTTAAATGGGCGGCCCGTGAACAAGGGCCTAACCGCTAGGTGACCAGACTGACGAAAAAGTCAAACAACCATTTTGTACTTTTCCCCTAATAAATTGAGTTAAATTAATTGATTTGACTTGCACTTATTTTTCGCGTAACAGAAAATCGAACGAAAAGACACATTAGAATTCAGAAGGTCGTCTTCCTCGATCTGGCGCTCCTTCTCCGACGAACTTCATCATCGCTGATCCAAGCTCGAGTCTGAACCTTACGCCACCAGTAAACAACCTTATTCCTTCTCCTCTTCATTCTATAAAACAAAAAGGCCAGT